ATAGGCATTTGCCGAACTTGTTCTCTACAAAGCAGTTGGACTTTGTGTACGTCTTATTCACCTTGCCGACAAATGTCAAGTCCGTGGCCTTGGCAACTTTGAGCTCCTCGTCAAGTATACCGAGGATACCTGCCTCTTTGGGGCTCTTGGTGGCATTGCCATGGATCATGTCGATGATCGGCTGGTTGTCCTTGAAGCTGAAATCGCTGGCGTCCACATCCAAGCCCTCATGCCTGTAGTGCTCTAACTCCATGTCGAAGAAGAATGCGTTGAAATGTCGTTGAAGCTTCTCGTTGCACAGATTGATGAACATTTGCTCGAGAGAGTTTTTCGCCAAACTCTCGAAACCTGCCATGTCCAACATCCCGAAGAACTCCATCTGCGCCGCTTGGTCCGAAGACATGCCTCCACTAAGGACCGTATTGATTTTTTCGATGAGCCATTTGAAGGTATTGCCGTATATCAGCCTTGAGACGGCATCCCGTCTCGCAGTCGACTGGGTTACATTGCAAGATTTGTCGATGACCTGCCCAGCGACGGTCATCCTCGCCTGTAGCAGCGAGTTCTTCAATTTCTCCCTGTCCACGCCAAGCATCTCAGCCGCGGGATCTAGTGTCCCCTCATCCTCCAACTTGCACGAGTCTGCGTCGACCGCTTTGAATTTCATGTTGCCAAGGTTCAGAATGCCCACCACTACCTTGAATATTTCCGTCTGCAGCGCGGGGGAGAACTTCAGCTTGTCAAAGGCGTCCAGAAGTTCGCCCTGGTTTTGGTCGTCATTGACCTGCGGCACCTTGTCAAGCCCCTGCAGGTAGTTGTAGCTCTTTGCCGGCTGGATCTTCAGAGGCTTGAGCTTCTCCTTCTCCCTGTGCTCGACAAGCTGGTAGAAGATGTGATCCGCCGCCCCCCCCCCCCCAGCAGGGCCTCCAGGCCGCGCACGATCACGCAACATTGCTCCCCCAAACTGCGGGACTGGCGCGCGGAGCGCCAGCTGCTGCTCCACGGGAGAGCGCAGGGCCGAGCCGGGGACGTTCTTTTCTCTGGGGCCGACCCGGGGACCTTCAAGCAGACGTTCCTGGGCGGGGTGGGCGATCGGGCCTCTGTCGGCGATCAACTGGCGACTGGGGGTCGACGCATCCCTCTCTCAGCCTGTCCCCCCACCCTGAGGTTGCCCCTGAGTGTTTCAAGGGGCACAAGGACACACAAATAAAATGATGCCCCATATTTTCTCATGTTTTTTTGTTGGGGGGTTTGTCTTCCCGCCCAGTTCCCATATGTCCCCACATTTTCTTGGGGGTCGACGATTATTGTGTCTGTGTGTTTTTTCCCCTCCTGAGTGTTGTTGATGGCCGAGCCCAGGAGATGGGTGGCACTGACTGAGCAGGGGGCGACCGTCCCGGCATTCCTATAGGCCTACCACGAAGTGCTCTGAAGGACCCAAATATGTTCCGAGAACCGAACAATGTTCTTAGGACGTAGATCCGATGTGCTAAAACAAGACAGTCCAAACCAGGAATGCTCTAAAAACATTTCGTGCAGACCATAAAGGGCTCTTAGAACATCCTTCGGTGGGCCTATAGGCAAGCTAGGACGCTTCGCCACTGCTCGAGCATTGGAGGGCCGACCCAGGGCCAGGGGTAGTCGGGGACGAGGCTGAGAGCCAAGGAAGACGGCGGCGGCACCGGGTGGGCAGCACCAGGTCCGTGGACAGCTGGGGGCAGCTGGGGACAAGGCCGAGCAGAGGAAGTACAGTCGGACCTAAGCCAGAAGGACATCCCTCAAGAACATGAGACCCTCCGTCGGCCAAAACAAACAAAGCATCCAATGGTACCCTCCCCAGGGTGCACAAGAACATCCAACAAATACGAAAAACAGTAGGGAAACCTCCCCGAATCGACCCCGATCTTATACCTCGGTCCGACTGTAGGGCGGCAGCAGAGAGAGAAGCACCAGGGCTGGAAACTGTCCGGGATAACAAGAGAAGGTAGTTCGCGGTGGAGATGTTCGGACGCATTCGTCGGTTGTCGGTGGATTTCCAGCCTTGGAATGCTCTCCAGGCAGCTTCGTGATACATATATATATATATGTATATATATATATATATATATGTATGTGCACACGTGCATACATACTTGCAAACATGCCTATATACACATATGCCTGTATAGATGTGTATGTAAATACATGTGTACATGTCTATATGCATACATACAAACATACATACATACATACATACATACATGCATACATACATACATACATACATGCATACATACATACATACATGCATGCATACATACATGCATGCATACATACATACATATGCATACATACATACATACCTGTATACATGCATGCATGCATGCATGCATGCATGCATACATACTTGCCTACATACATACATACATACATACATGCATACATACATACATACGTACATACATACATACATGCATACATACATACATACATACATGCATACATACATATACATGCATGCATCTATACACACATGTGTGCATGCGTGCAGGCATACATGCATATACGTATGCATTCATGCATGCACATACGCATACATTAAATTACACAACATTGCATTTCATTATCGTGGGTTACACTGCATGACATTAAATCCCATGACATTCCATTACTTTACACTACAATGCGCTTACATGGTCTTACAGTACAGCACAATACACAACATTGCATCGTATTGCATTGCACTCTATCCCTTCACGGTATGATCAAAAAACGACGAATGAGTTTACACACATACTTACAAACAACCATGCATACATGCAAGCATGCATGCACACATGCATACATACCCACATACAGACATACATACACACGGATGAGTACAGACATGCATGCATACATGCATGCATGCATCTATATATATATATATATATATATATATATATACGTATATACATATATGTATACACATGCATGCGCGCATGCATGCACACACATGCATACATACAGACGTAGTTGCATACGTGCACACACACACATGCATGCATACATACATAAGCAAATACACACATGCATGCATGCATGCATGGATACATATATGCATCCATACATACAGACATGGATGGATGGATGCATGTATACACACGAATATGCGTACATACAGACACCCATGCATGCATGCATGCATGCGTACATGCATATAAGCAAACAAAAAGCACGCAAATAAACACGCAATCATATGCATGCATATTTATATACACATATACACATCCATAACCATATACTGAGCCTGGCGACGTTCCGGAAGATCTATCCCCGGCCAGTAGCCGTAAAGAAATTCCAGTCTCGGAAGGTGAGAACAAGGTCGAGACAAAGAATTCTGCGGCAACTGGCGGCAGGTGTTCTTGACGGGAGTGAGCAGCTCTCGCGAGTCCGCTTCAGCTCGCACATGCGTCGTTGCGCTTCGTTCGCATCTTCGAATTATTGTCATTCAGGGGGGCGGGGGCTCGGAGGGCCAAACCAAAATTACCCGAGACGTATCCAACCCCTTCGCTACGCGAATCGACATTTCAAGGAACGCTCCATGCAAAAGAACACGTTGCAAGGACACTCAGCTCCGCTGTACCTCCCAGGAGCCCACGACGGAGGCAACCATTGCGCACTGCCCAACCACCCAGGGAGCTGCGAGGTCTTGGCTCGGTCTGCGTGCTCCCCCACTCCGCCGTGCCTCCCAGGCGCCAGCGAAAATGACGACAATTGCGCAGTTCGCAGCCACCCGGGGAGCCGCGAGGTCTCGGATGCATGTGCGTACTCACCCACTCCGCTGGGCCTCCCAGGAGCCCGCGAAAGCGGCGTCAGTTACGCAGTACCCTACTCCGCCGAGCCTCCAAGGAACCCACGAGCATGACGACAACTACGCAGCTTGCAGCCACCCGGGGAGCCGCGAGGTCTCGGCTGCATGTGCGTACTCACCCACTCCGCTGGGCCTCCCAGGAGCCCGCGAAAGCGGCGACAGTTGCGCAGTACCCTACTCCGCCGTGCCTCCAAGGAGCCCACGAACATGACGACAACTACGCACTGAGAGCCACCCAGGGAGCCGCGAGGTCTCGGCTGGATGCGAGTACTCTCCCTACTCCGCCACGAAGGTGGCGAGAGTCGCACAGTTCGCGGCTACTCCGCCGTGCCTCCCAAGAGCCCACGAGAGTGACGACAATTACACACTGCGCAACCACCCAGGGGAGCTGCGAGGTCTCGGCCGGATGCGCATACTCCCCCACTCCGCCGCGCCTCCCAGGAGCCCACGGAAGTGGCAACAGTTGCACAGTTCTCGGCCACCCAGGGAGCCGCGAAGGAGGGGAAGCAGGAGGGGGGGGGGAGGAGAAGGAGGAGTGGATACCACAGTGCTCGAGTCAAATAGAGAACCCAGCACAGGAGGGCTAGGAAAAAAACAGAGTGTCCCAAAGCACCCCGAGTGAGAGGAAAACGCCCCCACCCCGTGTTCTCCCATTTGTTTCCGCGACGGCCGGGGGGGACGCAATCCAGCAGCTTAGCCGAACTCTGGCCCAAAGTTCGGCCACGTAGGCGTTGCAACCGCAAAGTTCGGCCACGTAAGCGTTGCCAAGACGATGGGGTGCGGCAATGGTTCGCCAGAGGCGACTTCGTCCGCTGCCCCTTGTTTACGAGGCGTATGGCGACCCCAATCCCCGACTCTGTGGGACGTTCTATGGGCTCGCAAATGTGTGGCCAAGCGTGGGAATATACGATGGGAGCGTCCATCCTCGATAGGGGTGCGTCCTCAAAAGCCCCCTGGAAGCGTATCCCCGAGTTACCGCTCTGTTCTGAGCGGCCAGTTGATTGGGAGGGGGGACATCGGAGACTGGGGGAGAAATATCGCCTGCGGCTTGTGGTGTCACCACGAAGCTCGTCGTGGTCTTCCTGTTGGCCATCATTGCGTCCGTCTTGCCCTCCGAAGCCCTCTCCGCGGGCCTCGGTCTGCTGCCGCCAGCCCCTCCGTCACTGCGCACTCCGTTGCCCAGGTCGCCCAAGATGGCTCCAAGGTGGCCCTCAAGAAGGCCCCAGGACGGCACCGAGGATTTCGAGATTGGAGGCCTCCTAGATGGGGTCGGAATGGATGGGGTCGGAGGATCGCGCCGAATCGGCGATACATGGGCGATGCATCGCCGATGCATCGGCGATGCACTGGCGATGCATCGGCGACGTCGGCGATGCATCGGCGACGTCCGCGTGAAGAAAATCGGGCTCCGCATCGAGCCGCATCGGCGATGCATCGGCGATGCGGCGCGATCCTCCGACCCCATCTACTCCGACCCCACCTAGGAGGCCTAGAGAGATGGCCTAGGATGTCACACGATGGCCTCCGGGATGCCTCCCCACGACCAAGTATGACCCAAGTTGCCCCGGATCTTCAAAATTGCGCCAGGTCGCCCAAGTATTGCTGAAATATAACACCAGACCCTTCCAAAGGCCCCTCTCAGGCCAAAACCATTGAAAACAGCCAGCCGCTGAAAAACTATGCAATATCTCGCAAATGACCCCGTACGCCTTGAGAGGTGCCCAGGAAAATCTCAAGAGGACCCCTAGGGCTCCCAAAAGCACACGGGCACTTCCAAGAGCGCAAAATGGCGGTGGTGCCTCGCCGGAGGCATCGTCGATAGTTACGCTCGTTGCGCTCGTCACGTCCGCATACTCGCGTCAGCTCGAGCACGTAGTCCACAACGAAGCAGGCCTTGATCGTGAAGTTGTCGTTGACCGCAATCTGCATCCACTTCCCGAAGCGGGACGAGTTGTCGTTCCTGCACGTCTTGGCGTTGCCGAACGACTCCAGCACAGGGTTGGTCTGCATGATCTGGTCGTTCAGGTCTGGCGTCGCCGACTCACCAGCAACCGAGTACCTCGACCCTCGACGGTCCATAGAATAACGGACCCCAACCTGCTGGCTGGGGCTCAACGCGGAGCCCACGTAATTCAGGATCAGCTTCACGGTCTCAGTCTTACCAGCACCAGATTCGCCAGAAACTAAGACAGCCTGGCCCTTCTTCTTCCTCTGCTTCAGGGCGTCCACCGCGTCCCTGCCAAGCCGGTAGCAGTGAGGTTCCAGATTCGCCGCTTTGGGATCGAGATATTTTTTCATGTATTCCTTGCCGTAGATGTCCAAACGCTGGAACGGATTCAGTGCAATGAGGATCTTCCCCAAGCCGGTGTAGATGTCGTTCCTGTTATACCTGACCTCCGTGGTCTTCAGCACTGCCCCCTGGCAGATGATCCGCCTCCGCTGTGTTCGCGGCTGGTGTGTAAATCGGGCCCGGTGTGAATCTCTCAGCTCTGCTCACTGTGTTACAAGCGGTCCGGGGCCGCGCTGAGCCGAGGGCCAAACGCGTCGATATGCTGCCCCCTCCCACCCCTCCACACACAGACAAGAGCACACGCACACGCACACACACACACACACACACACTCTCACACACTCTCACACACACACACACACACACACACACACACACACACACCCAAGCGCGCATGCGCACGCACGCGCACGCGCGCAGGCTCACACGAAAAAAATGTGAAACCGTTTGCTGTGGCCTCCAGTGGGAAGAGCACGACAGAGGCACAATTCCCAGCTTGGACACCCCGCCGTCCTCCCAGGCCGCCAGAGCGCCGGCGGACGCGCGCGGCAGCGCAACTGGATATTGAGGTGCATGATGTCTGGGACGCCCTCCAGCTGGTCGTTTTCCACCTCGTCGAGGTCCTCGACGTGCTTGCCTTTGGGTAGCGCGACTTCCCTGCCAGCTGCATCCTTGAACTTACCATCAGGGCCTTCTGTGCATATTACCCACGTGCTCTCTGGATGAGGCAGCCAGTACCGCCCTGGTTCCGCCATTCGCGCAGCGGCAGCGTCCCTAAGCCTAGAGCCCCCAAATAAAGCTACTGCAATGGACTCTCAGACGGCTTGAGCCCGTATGCATGAATGTGATTATGAAAAGAAGGGCGAGGATGCGGAGGAAGATGAGGATGAGGATGAGGATAATGGTGAGGACGAGGAAGATGGCGAAACAGAGACGGTGGATGGGATTAAGATGAGGGTGAGGATTTTGATGAGAGTGTGGAAAACAGAAGACATGTATGGATGAGGAGGGTCAAGATGAGGACGAGGACAAGGACGGGGACGAGTTTGGGTACGATCACGAGAATGGGAATCCGCCGACCCCCGCTTGCCGAGGTTGCAAAAGACGTGTGAGATGGTTGGCTGCTCATTCCCCCCCCTGTTCCCCTCCCTATGGTCCAGTTCGAGTTTGAGGGAGGGGGGCACAAGCCCACCAACGCACCCCCAGGGCCTCCGGAGCCTCCAACTCCAGCCTCCGTCGCCTCTGGGATGCCCAAGACGCTTTCCAAGACGGCTCAAGAAGGGCGCCAACATGCCCAGATGGCACAAGATGGCCTCAAGGCGGGCCAAGCCTCCAAGACGCCCCAAGGAGGGCTCCAAGAGAACCCGAGAAGCGCCCCAAGAAGCAAAAACCATCGATACTCCTCAGGCTTTTGAACTGTTTCCGCCTTCTTGCCTTCTCGGGCTTCTGGAAAACCGAGGCGGCCCAGAACGCCCCACAGGCTGGCCCAAGACGGCCCAGGCTCCCAAGAGGGCCTGGAGTTCGCCCCGCGACGGCCCAAGAGGCCCTGAAGACGGCCAAACAGGCCCTCAAGAGGGCCCTGGCCCAAGAGAGGCCCAACAGGAAGGACCCACAGAGGCTCCAAGAGCCCCCAACCCCTACAGGATGGACTCCAAGACCCCCAGCATGCCCCCAAGGCCCCCAAATCGCCCCAAGAAGCCCTCGGGACAATTGAAAGACTCCAAGAGGCCAGCCCCTAAGCCTCCAAGAGGCCCCCAAGAGGCCCCTGAAACAGAAGCGGAAGAAGAAGGACGTGTCAGCAACAACTACAGGCAAGCAACACGACGGGAGGAGATGCAAACAACACATACGGAACCGCACATGTCCTCGTCTGGGGGGCCCTTGGGGATCGGCGAAAAAGCGCATGCATCCTGGATGAAGACGAGGATGAGGATGAGACCTTCTGGTCGAGTATCATGACGAAAATAAGGATGCGGCTGATTAGCTGGTCTGCACTCTATGGGCCTAGCGGGGGGACTGACAAAAACGCAGCACCCTTTCTTCTAAGGAATGCTGTTTGCTATGTACAGCACATTAAGAGTTACGGTCAGCACTAGCGACGGAACTGCCAGCCATTATCTACCAAGGCATCTGTATCTAGTTGTACCAACATCCACGCCACTCGTGCACTGCACACAACACGAAAGAAAGCGTGGTGCCGCTGTCTCCTTTTCCAACGACACCTCTCAGGCGGCTCCTCTGGGCGGCTGCCACGTAAAAAAACGAGCCGCGCTGGGCACTGTCAGGGCCCGAAATTGAATGACCAAAATGGTAATGGAAGGATGGTGATGGTGGTGGCGATGTTCCGCCACCGTGCCTCATGCACACAGTGGGGCGTCCTCAAGCCAGAGCCCACTGTATTGAACACGGTAGCACGCTCTTTTAAAGGGGCCCCAAACTCGAGTGCTGGTCGCTCAAGCGTGCTCCCACGGATTTCCCACCCAGACCCTTCCCAAAGTGTTCCCTCAAGGACTTCCACAACGGCTGGGGAAGCACAAGGCCCAATAGCTTGGCAAGACTTCGGCCAAACGTTTGACCACATAGGCGTTTCCAGAAGGCAGGGGGCGGCAGTGATTCGCGAGAGGCGTCTTCAAAATAACAACGATGAGATAATGACGATGACGATGTTCACCAGGGATGGAACAAACAAACAAACAAACAAAAAACACTTCCACCAGCTAGGGGGACTGACCGATCCCTCCCCCCGAGCTGGTGGCACCCCGTTCTGGGCACGCCCGCAGAGAGTGCTCGGAACGGAATGCCACCAGCTCGAGGGGGTGGACTTTGGGAACGGCTCTTTTGGCATTCATAGATGTAGACAGCAAGTGCGCTCGAGGGGGTGGTCTTTGGGAACGGCTCTTTTTGCTTTCATAGATGTAGACAGCAAGTGCCAACGATATGCCGGCGGCAGCGATGACAATGACGACGACAGCCCCAGACTTTCGACGCTGTGATGCTTGCTGTTCCACGAAGAGGGGCCCAAATCTCTCGGCCGCATCCCCAGGAACGGCTTCTCGACGCGAATGTGTTCGGATAGCCCCGGGGCAGGAAAAAAATAAACACTGAACTGGCGGTAGTGATGGCGAACGTGTTTTTATTCGGCTAATTCGACATTGGGCGGAAGGGGGGGGAGGGGGGGGTCTGGCCCTGGACTTCTGCTGAATGGCGTCTGTTTGGGACCGTGCGTCCTCTGGGGGAGACCCCACCTGCCTGAAACAGGCGCCAAAAACAGCCCAGATCTACTCCATGGGGAGGAGGGGGTGCGAGGGCCCGCACCGATCGGCAAAACAATGAATAAAACAACGCTCACATGCTCTCGCAACAGTTGAGGTATACGGCCACCGCCACTGCCACCACTTCGACACTTGCTGGGCACGAAGAGAAGTCCTGGCGGGAACGGGTCAATCGACCCCACGGCGCTCCACAGGGCCAGCTGCTTCTTCATCCTGGATCTCTCTTGGCGGCCACAGGTCAAGGGGCACAAGGACACACAAATAAATACACACGAATAAAATGACGCCCCATATTTTCTCAAATTTCCTGGGTTTTTGTCTTCCCGCCCAATTCCCATATTTCCCAACCATCCTGTGGTGTTGGGTCCTCGTTTTGAAGAGACGGTGCCCCGCGTTCCCCTCCTTCCTCTCCTCCTCCCTCCTCCCCCGGGTGTTCGCATGCGGTTCCCCCACCCAGGGCAGCGCTTCGTGGCCCCATAGGGAGCTCCACCGAAGGCCCCAGTGGGGGTGTTCGCATGCGGTTCCCCCACCCAGGGCAGCGTTTCGTGGCCCCATAGGGAGCTCCACCGAAGGCCCCAGTGGGGGTGTTCGCATGCGGTTCCCCCACCCAGGGCAGCGTTTCGTGGCCCCATAGGGAGCTCCACCGAAGGCCCCAGTGGGGGTGTTCGCATGCGGTTCCCCCACCCAGGGCAGCGTTTCGTAGCCCCATAGGGAGCTCCACCGAAGGCCCCAGTGGGGGTGTTCGCATGCGGTTCCCCCACCCATGCGGTTCCCCCACCCAGGGCAGCGTGGCCCCATTCGTGGCCATGCCATAGGGAGGCCCCAGTGGGGGTGTTCGCATGCGGTTCCCCCACCCAGGGCAGCGTTTCGTAGCCCCATAGGGAGCTCCACCGAAGGCCCCAGTGGGGGTGTTCGCATGCGGTTCCCCCACCCAGGGCAGCGTTTCGTGCCCCATAGGGAGCTCCACCGAAGGCCCCAGTGGGGGTGTTCGCATGCGGTTCCCCCACCCAGGGCAGCGTTTCGTGGCCCCATAGGGAGCTCCACCGAAGGCCCCAGTGGGGGTGTTCGCATGCGGTTCCCCCACCCAGGGCAGCGTTTCGTAGCCCCATAGGGAGCTCCACCGAAGGCCCCAGTGGGGGTGTTCGCATGCGGTTCCCCCACCCAGGGCAGCGTTTCGTGGCCCCATAGGGAGCTCCACCGAAGGCCCCAGTGGGGGTGTTCGCATGCGGTTCCCCCACCCAGGGCAGCGTTTCGTAGCCCCATAGGGAGCTCCACCGAAGGCCCCAGTGGGGGTGTTCGCATGCGGTTCCCCCACCCAGGGCAGCGTTTCGTGGCCCCATAGGGAGCTCCACCGAAGGCCCCAGTGGGGGTGTTCGCATGCGGTTCCCCCACCCAGGGCAGCGTTTCGTAGCCCCATAGGGAGCTCCACCGAAGGCCCCAGTGGGGGTGTTCGCATGCGGTTCCCCCACCCAGGGCAGCGTTTCGTGGCCCCATAGGGAGCTCCACCGAAGGCCCCAGTGGGGGTGTTCGCATGCGGTTCCCCCACCCAGGGCAGCGTTTCGTAGCCCCATAGGGAGCTCCACCGAAGGCCCCAGTGGGGGTGTTCGCATGCGGTTCCCCCACCCAGGGCAGCGTTTCGTGGCCCCATAGGGAGCTCCACCGAAGGCCCCAGTGGGGGTGTTCGCATGCGGTTCCCCCACCCAGGGCAGCGTTTCGTAGCCCCATAGGGAGCTCCACCGAAGGCCCCAGTGGGGGTGTTCGCATGCGGTTCCCCCACCCAGGGCAGCGTTTCGTGGCCCCATAGGGAGCTCCACCGAAGGCCCCAGTGGGGGTGTTCGCATGCGGTTCCCCCACCCAGGGCAGCGTTTCGTAGCCCCATAGGGAGCTCCACCGAAGGCCCCAGTGGGGGTGTTCGCATGCGGTTCCCCCACCCAGGGCAGCGTTTCGTGCCCCATAGGGAGCTCCACCGAAGGCCCCAGTGGGGGTGTTCGCATGCGGTTCCCCCACCCAGGGCAGCGTTTCGTGGCCCCATAGGGAGCTCCACCGAAGGCCCCAGTGGCGCAGTCGCACGCGCTTCCCCCACCCAGGGCAGCGTTTCGTGGCCCCATAGGGAGCTCCACCGAAGGCCCCAGTGGCGCAGTTCGCATGCGGTTCCCCCACCCAGGGCAGCGTTTCGTAGCCCCATAGGGAGCTCCACCGAAGGCCCGCCCCGGTGGCGCAGTCCGCATGCGGTTCCCCCATCCAAGGCAGCGCTTCGTGGCCCCATATGGACAACGCACAACGCGTTACCAACAATTGCTTATGGTTGGGTCTTTCGCCAGGATAATTTGCCATATTTTCTTGGGGGTCGACGATTAATTGTGTCTGTGTGTTTTTTCCCCTCCTGAACAGGGTCCGCAAAGGGCCCAGGAACCTGAAGACGGCGAAAACTGGACCCCTTCCATTCATTGACAACGACGCCGCCCCATAGCGCCGTTGCGGCCGGAGAGGAAGAGCTTCACCCGCTCGAGGACCGGTGTGGCAGGCAGAGCCTGTCGCGGAGGGCGCGAGGGCAAAGGGAGGGGTAACGGGAAGAAGCGGAGGGGAAGGGAGAGGACGTGAGGGGCGCGGGGAGAAAGGGTAGGGGCAGTGGGAGCGGAGCGAAAGCTCGGACATCCAACGTCTTGATCTGCTCCATACGGGGCCCCCGACAGCCCCGACCCCTCCCCCCGAGGCCAGCTTTTCGCCCCGAGCCGTCTTTTTGGAGGTCCCGGGGCCCAGCGAGGCCGACAAAAAGCCAAGGGCCTTCCGCCGCGCTTTTTTCGATTATTGCTACTACTATCATTACGAATACTATCATTCGCATTCGCATTCATATTAAGATTATGAGCAGTACGATTCGGATTATTACTATTATTATTAGCAGTATCAGTATCATTAATGTGTTTCTCATTGTTGTTATTACAAGTATTATCGTTATTAGTATTATCATTATTAGTGTTATTGATACAACTATCATGATTAGTAGTAGTATTAGTATTACTATTAGTATTAGTATTATTTTTCGTATTATTATTAATAGTAATAGTAGTAGTAGTAGTAGTAGTAGTAGTAGTAGTAGTAGTAGTAGTAGTAGTAGCAGTAGTAGTAGTACTAGTAGTAGTACTCGTTGTAGTCGTAGTAGTCGTAGTAGTCGTAGTAGTCGTAGTAGTAATAGTAGTCGTAGTAGTCGTAGTAGTAGTAGTAGTAGTAGTAGTAGTAGTAGTAGTAGTAGTAGTAGTAGTAGTAGTAGTAGTAGTAGTAGTAGTAGTAGTAGTAGTAGTAGTAGTAGTAGTAGTAGTAGTAGTAGTAGTAGTAGTAGTAGTAGTAGTAGTAGTAGTAGTAGTAGTAGTAGTAGTAGTAGTAGTAGTAGTAGTAGTAGTAGTAGTAGTAGTAAGTAGTAGTAGTAGTAGTAGTAGTAGTAGTAGTAGTAGTAGTAGTAGTAGTAGTAGTAGTAGTAGTAGTAGTAGTAGTAGTAGTAGTAGTAGTAGTAGTAGTAGTAGTAGTAGTAGTAGTAGTAGTAGTAGTAGTAGTAGTAGTAGTAGTTAGTAGTAGTAGTAGTAGTAGTAGTAGTAGTAGTAGTAGTAGTAGTAGTAGTAGTAGTAGTAGTAGTAGTAGTAGTAGTAGTAGTAGTAGTAGTAGTAGTAGTAGTAGTAGTAGTAGTAGTAGTAGTAGTAGTAGTAGTAGTAGTAGTAGTAGTAGTAGTAGTAGTAGTAGTAGTAGTAGTAGTAGTAGTAGTAGTAGTAGTAGTAGTAGTAGTAGTAGTAGTAGTAGTAGTAGTAGTAGTAGTAGTAGTAGTAGTAGTAGTAGTAGTAGTAGTAGTAGTAGTAGTAGTAGTAGTAGTAGCATTAGTAGTAGTCGTAGTAGTCGTAGCAGTAGTAGTGATATTGTTATTCTCCTTCTTCTATTTCTTCTTCTCACGGCGCGGGCACGTCAGGGAGGGACCCGGGCGCAGGGCACGGGCCAGCGGCGGCCGGGCGAATCGCGAACGCGCGGGGGCAGGTGCGCCCCCCCGCACGGGGGGCGGAGCGGGAGGGGGCGACGGCCTCGCAGGAGCCGCAGGCCACCGCGGCGCTGCAAGGGGGGAGAGGGAGACGGGGGGGGGGGAGGGGGGGGGGGGAGGAGGGAGGAGGGGAGGGATGGAAGGAGGAAGAGGAGGAGGAGGAGGAGGAGGAGGAGGAGGGCGGAGGGGGGGGGGGAGGAGGGGAGGAGGGCGGAGGGGGGAGGAGGGGGGAGGGAGGAGGGAGGAGGGCGGAGGGGGGAGGAGGGAGGAGAGAGGAGGGGGGAGGGGGGAGGGAGAAGGGGGAAGAGGGCAAGCTATGTGCGCTCGCGTCATATCTGGCGTCCAACCCCGCCCTCCCATCCCTTACCATGGCGTGGATCGCCTCTCCATTCGCACAGTCGGATGTCGTAGCATGGCATGGCATCACATGGCACAGCATGGTGTTGAAGATCAACGCGTAGCATGACATAGCATGGCGCGGCGACGCCCCAAAGTGGGGGGGAGCTTCTGCGACCCACAAAAATCAACGGATCGACAATGAATGTGTAATCACTTCTGATGGTTTTTCGGTGGGGTACGTTCTGGATTTGGGGGCCTGCTTGGAAGGACCGAAAACCATGCCGTGGCATGGCACTGGAAATGATGACGCCAGCGCTGCAGCGGGAGCACGATTCGGAACGAGCGGAAGCGCGGAAATGAGGCCAACGCTGCAGCGGGAGCACGATTCGGAACGGGCGGAAGCGCCGAAATGAGGCCAGCGCTGCAGCGGAAGCACGATTCGGAACGAGCGGAAGCCCGAACATGAGGCCAGCGCTTCAGCGGGAGCAACATCTTGAACAACAAAGAGCGAGAACCCAATTCCTGGGAATCCCGTGTGTGCAAGACAATACGTGGAGGGGGGCCGAACATCTTCCGGACGTCATCCGGGGAGAGAGCAGAGTAGAGTGTGGATACTGCGTGATTGTAGAGCGGGAGGGGGGAAGAGGGGGCCAAATCTCCGAGCACCTCGCTCGAGCACCTGGGCCCGCGAGCCGCCTCGAGCGGCGTGCGTCGCAGCCACCGTAATTCTAGGTCGGGCCTGTCCCCTATAGGCCGGCTTTAGACGACAAATTAACAAATAGTCAAAAAAATAGTCCAACAGAATCAAAAATAGTCGAAATATCGTCCCCAGACTATTTTCTACTATTTTTGAGTCATCCTCCTGTAGAGGGACACGCCCGACTTCACCGCAATCACCTGCGAGTTATCCGCCGGCGTGCTTTTTCCACGACTTGGGCTCCCGGAGCCCGTCCCCGGGGAGGCGGCGAAGACTTCGGGGGCCACGCTTAAGTCGGGCCTGTCCCCCTACAGGAGGATTTTCGACGAAAAATAAAAAATACCAAAAAAAATATTCCAAAAATAGTTCAAAAATAGTCTGGGGACTATGTTTGATTATTTTTGGGGCCACGGATTGGGAAGAAAAAATAGTCTGGGGCCACGGATTGGGAAGAAAAAAAAAAGGTGTCTAGGGCGAGGGGGCGTTTTCGGGTCGGGCGAAAGGGGGGGATAGCAAAGGGGGGGTCAGAATCAGCTCACGTAGCTGACTTTCCCGGCGCCTCCTGGCGCCAGGAGGCGCCTATGTTTCGAGGGATGGGCCCGGCGGCGAGGCCGAAACCAGCTGCATGCAGCTGCAGACTTCGTAACCCCCCCTTTCCCAATCCCCCCCCTTTCGTCCGGCCCGACGTTTGCCGGGCGGACTGCTGCGGGCGTACAGTGGGAGCCCGTCCACGAGAGACCTTCCACGAGAAACCCAACCCCGTGACCCCAGGACGTCCATTTGAGTTCTGGTGTGGGAGCGCCACGCTCTCCACAGCAGAGCCATCGAAGCCCAAGAGACCCAGGGCAACCCTGGAGGCAAGCAGGGTGTTTCGTGGCATGGGTGTCCACTGTCAGGCGAGGGGATTTTTGCCAAGGGGGCTGCAGCCGGCGTATGCGGTGGTTGCATGCCTTCATGGAGGTGAGCAGGGGCACTCGGGCCAGGAGGGGCCGTTTCCATCAAGCGAGGGGGAGGCGCGAGGAGGAGCACCGCCACTCCCCGAGACGTATCAGCGCTGCGCCGCCGCGTGGAGGGGCCAGTGGATGGGGCAGCGATGGGGGAGGGAACGGGCTCAGGGGAGACAACGTCGAGCTCAAATCGGCGACACATAGTCGATAGATCAAACCCCGATCGCAAATCCACACCTGCATGGGCGGGGTGGGCCCTCAGGCCCCCCGTCGGCGATCAGTGGGCGATCGGGGGGGGGCGGTGCGTCCCCCCGCCGAGCCTATCCCTCCCCCCCGCGTGGTCCCCGACAGCTTCGGGCGGCACTGCCCTCGCGCTTGCTGCCAGAGTTCCTCTCTGGACGACTGGCACGAGTCGAGCAGACTGCAGACACACACACACACACACACACACACACACACACACACACGCGCACACACACACACACACACACACACACACACACACACACGCGCACACACACACACACTTCCCTCGGCACCCAAGTACACACACAAGCCCACACACACACACACACACACACACACACACACATACACACACACACACATCCTCGGGACGCTGGAACCCAAGCACACACTCACACACACACACACACACACACACCTCGGCTGCTGCGTGCGCAGCAACGCAACGGTGAGAGTTGGCGGAAAGGCAAAAGCCAGGCTGGCAACAAGCACAGGGGAAGGAAGGAGAAGAGAGACGGCGGAAAACACACACACACACACACACGCACGCACGCACGCACGCACGCACGCACGCACGCACGCCCGCGCGCACTTATCCTCCCCTCCTTTCTGGCGCAGGCCTTGGGGAACCACCGGGCGATGGACTCGTAGCAAGGCGACTTCAGGTCGGGGGACCAGCCGTTCCACTGCGGGCCGCGCGCGAGGTCTCCGCAGAATGACCGAAGCAGACACATGCAGAGATCATGCTCGCTGGCCACTCCCGGACGACAGACACAAGGGACCATAGGTGCGGGCAGAGGGCGGCGATGGCCACGCCGCGCCTCCACGCGTGCGCGGCCCTCCCCAACGCCCCCTGGCCATCTCATACATGAATGGGCAATACGGTGAGGGCATTGGATCCGGAACCATGGGATCAGGAATCCAGGGCCTGGAAGCCAGTGGCACTCTAATCGTGCATCGGCCATGGATAACACTGCCGCCCTCATCAGATGAGGAATCTCCCAGGGTCTGAAGCCTCCTCTCCTGGACGCATTCCGCCCCCACCGTCAAATAAAGACCACAAAGCGGTTGGTGCAGGTACGTCCTCGCTCGCCCATGCCAAGTAGCAGCAGGGTCTGGCACGAGCGCGTGACTGTGGCTGTCCGAGAGAAGCCTCCCTCAACTCTCTCTCCCTCCCCTCGGCTCCCGCCTCCCTTCTGCTTCCCTCGGGGATCTTCTGACCCGGGTCAATCCAGACCCGGGTCAGCAGGAAACCAAAAACTGCAATGCAATAAAAAAACTGCAACGCAGATCTTCGCAAACCTGGGTCAGCCAACATGCGCGGCCGCCTCGCGGCCACGAGCGGCTCCCTGACCCGGGTCAGCCAGAGGGGGTCTTCGCAGGATCCTGCAGGATCTGGCGCCCTGACTGACCCCCGTTTGCAGTGACCCCCGTCTCGACGCTCCCGATTCCCCCGCCCCCCCTCCCCCCCGCTCTCCCCCCCGGTCGACCGCGCCGGGAGGGTCCGGACGGACGCGGCCCCTGGGCGCGACTTCGAGAGACCCGCGCCCCGCCGGGCCCAGCAGCGCGGCACCCCCCGAGAGGCCCAGCGCTGCAGACGCCCGCGGCACCCGTGGGCTAAAGGAAGGGGCCCTGGGACACACAAGTAAATACACGCAAATAAAAAGATTCCCCATATTTTCCCATATTTTCAGGGTGTTTGTCTTCCCGCCCAGTTCCCATATGTTCCCATATTTTCTTCGGAATCGACGATTGATTGTGTCTGTGTGTTTTTCCCCCTCCTGAATAAAATCCTCCCACCTGGCCGTTCCCAACCTCGGGAGACGAAAAAAAAGCGCGCCTGGGCGGCCTGGCCACACCGCCTCCGGCGATTAGCACGCGGCTGGCCCCCCCCCCGCCAACGACAAGCGTCCAGCCTCGGAAGAGGAAGAGCAATTACAGCAGGAGCTCGACCACGAGGAACCTTCCACAGGAAACCCAACCCTGAGACCTCAGGACATCCATTGATTTCTGGTGTGGGAACGTCACGCTTCCCATCGAAAAAAAACATCGAAGCCCAAGATGCCCAAGGCACCCAGGAGGCAAGCAGGGTGTTTCTTGGCATGGGTCTCCACTATAGCCATGCCACACGTGGCACGCCCGAAAGGGGCACGGAAGAAATATGTAGCGGAACGAAAAATGGCATAAACATAAAAACTCTGAAGTTTGCGCGGAATTCTCGGATCGGCGCTGGACCCCCCTCCCTGGCGCGCGAAGCGCGCCAGGGGCGGCGCCAGAGACGCCGCCAGGGGGGTCCAGCGCGGATCCGAGAAATCCGCGCGGACCTCCGAGCCTTCATGTTTATGTCATTGTTCGTTCCCCTGACATGGGCACGAGGCCAAACGGGAAACGTTGTGAAGGACCGACAGGCGGAATCTTGAACCGGCCTTCCCCTCGGAGGCCCCGCGCGAAGCTTCCCCTCGAAAGCCCAGCGGGGCGGCCAGGGGAGGCCCGAAGCGCTCTTCATCCTCGGAGCACGTCTCCCCTCTAACTGGACGCGCGCTCAGAAGCCTCCTAGACGGGGTCGGAGTAGACGGAGTCAGGGGATCGCGCCGCACCGGCGCTGCATCGCCGACGCATCGGCGATACATCGGCGATGCGCCGGTTGTGCACAGTCGACGTGGGCGCTGCAGCGGCGACGTCGACGTGAAGGAGATCGGGCTCCAGAGGGGCGCCGCAGGCGGGCGCCGCGGCGCCATCGTGCGAGACAAGAGCGGCCCCATACAAGAGGTCCGCCTCCCGGCAAGAGCGCGTGAGGCAAGGGCGGTGGGGCCGGACAGCTCCCCGCACCGCGCCGGCACGCACCCCGCCCACCTGCAGGGGCGGCGCCCCGGAGGAAAAGCGCTGCGGAGCGCCCGCCTTCGCTTTCTGATGTTCCTCGGCTTCTGCCCATCCTGCCCCTGACCCCATTCGAAGCTCCCTCCAGCTCCTCCCGCTGCCTCTGCTGCTCGCTGCTCTCCTTCCTCGTCGCCCTACCCCCTCGTCCCTGCGCTCCTCCTCGCGCTCCTCTCCCTCGCCGTGCCCCTTCGTCCCCTTTGCCCCGGCCCACGAGCTCAGGCCGGCCGCGCCGGGGCCCGCCGCGTCCGAAGCGGGCCGGGCCGCCAGGGTGCGGCGCCGCAGCGCCCCCGCGGGTGCCCCGCCCACGGCGGGCGCCGCAGGCCTCCCCCGGCCTGCGCCGTCGCCGTAGTGCAGCCCACCAGCACAGCAAGGGGGCGCGAGAAGGGTGCCAGGGCCTGGAGCGCCCACTTCGAAGCTTCTCGAGCGGGGGGCGCGGCCAGCGAAAGCGGCAAAGGATGGACCGAGGAGGCAGGGATGCAGGGGTACCCTTGGGAAGGTTGCCCATCCCTATGATGCGGGTTGGCTGTACAGGTCCAGGTCCGGGCGCAGCGGCAGGTCGTGGGCTTCCGCCTCCCGCTCCGCCCGTGCCCTGCCCGATGCTGGCCGGAGCGGCCGTGCCGTCAGCGACATGCCCAGTGCGGGGAGCTCCTGGCGACCGCCCCCTTTCGGGCGCGCAGCCGAGTGTTTCCGGACGGGTCCTCAACGGGGGCCAAGTCCAGGTCGGATCCAAACTCTGGGAGGCCATCCACAAAATGCCCGATGGCCATTCGCAGGTCCTCGCCCAGCATGCGGGCTCGCAAGAACAGCTGGAAGCACATCGCCCCGACGAGCCGTTCGGTCAGTCGCCGCTGTGCCGTCCCGAATCGCGCGACGACAAGCCTAGGCACGCCCCGCGCGCGGCCCGGACCGAGACGGCGTAAGACAAATTGGCTACAGAGGAGGGGTGGAGGTGGCGGTGGCGGTGGCGGTCGAGGTGGAGAAGGTCGAGAAGAGCGCCACTCGTCGGAGGAAGCTCAGCTCCTGTGGCTGTATCAGGCCAAGCTCTGCCACGAAGCGTCGAACCATTGATTCGACAGCCGCCCATCGAGGGCGCAGCGAGGAGGCAAGGGTTAAGTCGGGCATGTCCCTCTACATGGAAAACATTGAGAGACAATAGCAAAACAACAGTATGGGGACTACTTCCTGTCTCTTGTTGAATATATTTCGATTGTGTTTGGGACCTATCTTACTTGTCGTCCGAAATCCGCCCGTAGGAGGACGTGCCCGACCTAAGGCAGGGGGCGGAGGCGGAGGAGAACTCGGCATGCAGAGCCCGTCACACGGGCGGGGCTCCCGGCGCTCGCGCGCAGCTTGGTGTGCGCGCCGCGCGTAGGGGGGGGCCGAGAGGCCAGGCCAATTCACCTAAGGCCCATGCCAGCGGTAAGGTATGCGCCCCTGGACGGACCCCTGGACTGCCTACAGGGCAATTTCTAATACATAGGATTTTTAGAAATGCGATTGTTTAATACATGATTGATTTATGAATAAATTTATGCTTGAACTCACCGTTGTTTTTAATGCTGCTAAACCCCTGCATGTTTAATACATGATCCGCACGCGGAGCATGTATTAAAAACGGCACTGTAAGGCCCATGCCAGCGGTAAGGTATGCGCACCTGGACTGACCCCTGGACTGCCTGCTAGACCACGAGGGGCAACGATAGGAGGGACTGGCACAGGGGGGGGATGCATCGCCCTGGAATCGGCGATGCATCGCCGATAGATCGGCGATAGGCCTCCGATAGTGAATCCGCACCTTCCTGGGCAGGTTGGGGCTATCGGGCCCACATTGGCGATCAATGGGCGATGGGGGGTCGATGCAAAACCCCCTATGCCTATCCCCCCCTATCGTTGCCCCTGAGACCACCCCAACCCCAACCCGAAGACCCAAATTTCGAGTTCGGGGGGCGGGGGTAACGAGTTCCCATGTGGTTCTTCAGTGTTTCCGGACGCAGCCCCCCCCCCCCCTGGGAATGGAGGGCCACTTGGGGCCTTCGGGTTGGGTGGCGATGGTTTGGTGTTGGGTCGGGCATGTCCTCCGACAGGCGGATTGTGGACCCAACACAAAACTTATTCAATAAAGAGTCAAACAAATATTCAAAAATAGTCAGAGGGTAGTCCCCAACCATTTTTTACTATCTTACAAGATTCCCCCTGTAGAGAAACATGCCCGACTTAGTTTGATGGGTGGCGAACTCCTCAACGTCGGTGGCACTCGGGCGTACGCCGGCGGGGACACACGCGGGTGCTGTCGCTCCTGGCCCCTCCATGGGGCCCACACGACCGGCCGGGACGCGTCTCCCCGAGACTCTCCCGCCTGCGGCTTTGTCGACGTGTGGCCGCTTCCGAAGCCCCGAATCCCAAAACCCTGCCATCTCTCAGGTCGGGCGAAAGGCGGGGATAGCAAAGGGGGGGGGGTGAGAATCAGCTCACGTAGCTGATTTTCCCGGCGCCTCCCGGCGCCGGGAGGCGGCTATGTATCGAGGAATGGGCCCCTCGGTGAGGCCGAAACCAGCTGCATGCAGCAAATTTCGTACCCCCCCCTTTCCCAATCCCCCCCTTTCGTCCGGCCCGAATCTCTCTAAGGTTGTGGATGCCATGACAATGGACACTCTCACAATCATATCCATCACTCGACTCCCACAACTCTCAGGCGCCTCTTCTACTTCCGCCGCCGTCCGCCAAGCTTCCGCCAGGCTCCCCGCCCGCGGAGCGGCGCCCTCGTCTTGCTTCTGCGGGCCGCCGCCGGCCTTCCGCCGCCTCCCGCCGGGGAAGAGGCGCCAACGCCTTCCATCCTCGAAGGCGAGCCCCTTGTCCTGGAACGCCTCATATCCACGGGAGCTCTTATGCTTGCTCGGTGAGACAATGAGGCCACGTCGCTGATCCGAAGAAGGCACACTGAGGTGTTCGCGGTGGAGCGGCTCAACGCATCCAGAAATCACACACACAGAGGGGGCCATACCTTTCCTGTGGCACTGCCTACTACGAAAACCTAACTAGCCCTCTGGCAGGCGAACAAAAAGCTAGCCGCGAGGCGAGGTACATTTACCAAAAACAAATCAAGTGGGCCAGTGACTAGAACACCAGCGGGGATACTTCAGCGAATCGTGCGAGCGGGGCCCGACGTCGTACTTAAATACTTCCACTCCTCCGCAGCCCGGGGCCAGGCGCCAGAACTTTGGTCGTCCGTACCGGTGACCTGCGACTGTCCGTCTGGCGCGAGTAGGCAAGCACGCTCCACTACTCGCAAAGTAGCTACTCGCAAATGGCCTGGATCCGCCACGAGGGATTTACGACACTTTACCTCGAGGGGGACATGTTTTTTACTGACGTTTGCGAGTAGGCACTTTGCGAGTAGTGGAACGCGCTCGCTGCGCGAGGGCTGGCTTTAAACAGATCGGCCAGCAATGGGAGAGCTGCGGTGTCGACTCAGCGAATCGTGCGAGCTGGGCAAGACGTCGTGTTCAACGACTTCCCGCTCCTCCGCAGCCCGGGGCCAGGGCACAGGCGCCAGAAGCGGAGCATCTCGTCGCCCGTGCCGGTGACGAGCGTCTCCCCGTCGGGCGCAAGGGCAAGCTGCACGGCCCGGCGGCGGTGGGCCGACAGCACCGCCAGCTTCGACATGCCCCTCCGCTTCCAGAGGGCGATCTCGTTGCCCCAGTAGCCTAGAATATCACGTGACACCCTTGCGGCAGAAGACCCTCACCAGCTTCACACACTTACGATGGGGCCCACGATGGGGGGTCACGATGGCGGATCGGGATAGGGATAGGGATAGGGGTAGGGGTAGGGGCAGGGGTAGGAGGGGCAAGGGTACGGATAGGGGTCAAGACACCCTCCCCGCCCGCAAGCTGTCTCGCTCAAACCCACCCACCCTCCCAACACAGATGTAGCACCCGAGCCTCAGCGTGTTCAGCGGCCGTTTACGGATGGACAGCTACTGAAAACCAAAAACAGACTTCATGTGCGCGTGCTGGGGCGAGGTGCGCCACGCGTACCAGGCGCGCTACGCGCGCCAGGCGCGCCAGGCGCGCCACGCGCGCCAGGTGCGCCAGGCACTCCTGGGGCCCAAGCGTGCCAGGCACGCCTGGCGAGCCAAATGCGCCACGTGCTCCACGTGCGCCACGTGTGAGCGCATGTTCCAGCCGCGTCAGGTGCGACCGTTTGGGACACGCGCAGAGTGTGCCAGGTGCGTCCGCGCACGTGACAACACACATCGGGAAACATGTCGGCCCCCACCGGTCTTGTCGAAAACCAGTGCACAATCGCGGCGGGGTGGCCATCACGGTGTCTGGTGGGCCTCCACACAGCAGGCAATACACCAGCACCCCCGCCGTCCTTGTCTAAAACCATACAAAACGACCGTGAGGTAGCCGCGCATGATCCAGATTTAGCCGCGAAGTGCATTTTGTTTGTTGAAAGGGATGGTAGCCCTGCGCACAGCAAGCAATATGAGGCGCCCCCCGCCGTCCCGGACAAAAACATACACAGTGCTCGCTGGCTCCACGAGCATAACCCAAAAAGTAGCCTCATAGTGTATTGTGTAATGAATATTACAGGAATGGTGGGGGGGTGTCATTGGCCCTGATTGGCTGCTGGTCGCTTGTGGGAGCGGGGTGCTTGTTAATAGGGAACAGTGATAAGGGTCAGGACACCTTCCCCGCCTCACTCCCGTCCGCCCTCCCAACACATACGTAGCACCCGAGCCGTCTCAGCATGTTCAGCGGTCGACTTTGGATGGACATCTACTCGGAACCAAAACAGACCCTGTGTGCGAGACGCGGGGGCGAGGTGCGCCACGCGTACCAGGCGCGCCACGCGCGCCAGGTGCGCCAAGCACTCCTGGGGCCAAAGCGTGCCAGGCACGCTTGGCGAGCCAGATGCGCCAACTGCCCCACGTGCGCCATGTGTGCCGCATGTTCCAGCCGCGCCTGGTGCGCCACTTTCGGGGCACGCGCAGAGTGTGCCAGGTGCGCCCGTGCACGTGACAGTACACATCGGGAAACATGTCGGCCCCCACCATGTTCGTCGAGAACCAGTGCACAATCGCGGCGAGGAGGTCATCATGGTGTCTGGTGGGCCTGCACACAGCAGGCAACATGCCAGCACCCCCACCGTCCTTGTCAAAAACTTGTGGACAGTGATCGCGGGGTGCTCGCGCATGGTCCAAATTGAGCCGCGAAGTGCAGTTTGTTATGTTGTGTTGACGGGGATGGTGAACCCTGCGCAAGCAGGCAATATGAGGCATCCCCTGCCGTCCCTGACAAGAAAAAAAGGTGCTCGCGGGGCCCACGAGCATGACCCATGAGTTTGGCCCAAAGTGTATTCTGTATTGTTTTTGACAAGGATGGCGGGGGAGATGCTGTCATTGTTTCGGGTTGGCTGCTGGTCTCCTGGGGGAGGGGATGTTCATTAATAGGGAACACTGGTAGAGATAGTGATCAAGTTCCCAACAAGAACGCCGCAAGCTGCCTCGCAAACTCCCACCCGCCCTCCCACTGCATAAGCAGCACCCGAGAATCAGCATGGACAGGGGCCGCCATCGACAACCAGCGGGAACCAATGCTGAGGTCAGTCAGGTGCGCGAAGCCCGCGAGGTGCGCTGCACATGCCAAACGCGCCATGCACACCAGATGCGCTACGTTTGTCAATATGTCGACCCCCCATCACCCCAGACAGAAACCACTGCGAAGTGACGGCGGGTTCGCGAGCAGTGCGTATTTCGTGCGGGCGTGCACCCGCAATCGCTGTGACCTTGTGCTTGAACTGCACGCTGGGCCTGCAATCAGCAGGCAACATGCCGACCCCTTCTCCTCCCTCCTCCTCTCCCTCCTTTTCCCTCCTCCTCACCCCTCCTCCTCCTCCTCCTCCTCCTCCTCCTCCTCCTCATCATCCTCCACCTCCTCCTCCTCCTCCTCCTCCTCCTCCTCCTCCTCCTCCTCCTCCTCCTCCTCCTCCTCCTCCTCCCCCCCGCCGTCCCGGGCAGAGTGACTTCGCATGCTTGGTTCAGAGCGATGGTGGGCCTGCACACAGCAGGCAACGTGCTGGTCCCCCCGCCGTCCCTGTTAAAAGCAGTGCGATGTGATCGCGGGACGCCCGCGCATGACACAGATGTTGGTGCACAGTGCACTTCGCATTGCTTCTGCAGAGGATGGTGGAGGGGGGCTGACATTCCACAGAGGAGGCAATGCTCCTGCACCCCCGCGGCCCCGGTCAAAAACCAATGCGAAGTGATCGCGGGGCGCCCGCGCATGATCCAGATGTTGGTGCAAAGTGGGCTTCGTATTGTGCTTTGCAATGGATGGTGGGGGGGCAGCATTGCAAACAGCCAATATTCCTGCACCTCAGCGGCCTTTGTCAAAAACCACTGCGAAGTGATCGCGGGGCGCCCGCCCATGATCCAAATCTTGGTAAAACAAGAACAAAAGTGTCTGTTGCAAGGGATAACGGGAGGGTAGCATTGTCTCGGGTTGGTCGTTGGTCGGGTGGGGGAGGGGATGTATATCAACAACAAAGATCAATGATCAATACACCACTCCAAGACGCAAACTGTTCGCCTCACTCGGCGAAACGCAGGGAGCAAGGGCTGTGCTGGGTGGTGGCGGACGCATGCGGGCGGTCCCACTGGGGGCTTCGGTGGAGCTCCTTATGGGGCCACGAAGCGCTGTGCTGGGTGGGTGAAACGCAGGGAGCAAGGGCCGTGTTGGGTGGTGGCGGACGCATGCGGGCGGTGCCACTGGGACCTTCGGTGGAGCTCCCTATGGGGCCACGAAACGCTGTACTGGGTGGGTGAAACGAATGGAGCAAGGGCCGTGCTGGTTGGTGGCGGACGCATGCGGGCGGTGCCACTGAGACCTTCGATGGAGCTCCCTATGGGGCCACGAAGCGCTGTACTGGGTGGGCGAAACGCAGGGAGCAATGGCCGTGTTGGGTGGTGGCGGACGCATGCGGGCGGTGCCACTGGAGCCTTCGGTGGAGCTCCCTGTGGGGCCACGAAACGCTGAACTGGGTGGGCGAAACGCAGGGAGCAAAGGCTGTGCTGGGTGGTGGCGGACGCATGCGGGCGGTCCCACTGGGGGCTTCGGTGAAGCTCCTTATGGGGCAACGAAACGCTGTGCTGGGTGGGTGAAACGCATGGAAAAGGAGGAGGGAAGGGGAGGAGGGGGAGGAGGGGGAGGCGGAGGAGAGGAGAAGAGGAACGCGGGGACCGTATCTTCAAAACGAGGACCCAGCACCACAGGATGGTTGGGAAAAACTGTGATTTGGGCTTGTCTCTGGTATCATACATTTAAGCATCTATATATATATAGATATATATATATATATATATGTACATATGTACATGTATGTCTATACATGCGTGCTGTATATCAGAAGGGGATAGGGCTAAGAGTGGTAGGGATTGGGATCGCATCGGGACCGAGGCAGAAGGACATGGATAGGGTAAAGGCAGGGCCAATTAGGGGACGGATAGGTTAGACAATGTGAGACGGTGGGAGACCGTCGGAGACAACGGGAGACCATGGGAGACAGAGTCGCCCGAGCGAGCATCTCCTTTTGGAGGTCCCCGCGCATCTCTTGGGTCGGCGCTCGGCTCCCCTCCGGGGGCGGCGCCTCCGGCACCGCGCCCCCCGCGCACTTGGCGCGCCAGGGAGGGGGCGTGCCGGGTGTTGCTAGCAGTGCCCCTGGCCCAAGGTGCCCCCAGCGTTTCGCTGCATCTGTGAGCCCCTGGGGCCCTCTGGGCCTCGTGAGGGGTGCCCTGGAGGCCGTCTGGGCCACCCCGGGAATCCTGGGGGCAGCTTGGGCAAGGGGTAGTTCTAGCAACACCCGAGCGTGGCGAGCAGGGCCCGGTGCCGGCCAGAGAGAAGCCGCGCGGACCTCCCAGAGAGCGGTCCCCGGTGCTGCCGCAAGGGCGTCCGGTGAGCAGCGAAAGGGCTCTTCTGGCCACTGCGAGCCTCGACCGCGAATAGCCCTATACGGCAGGTTCGCGTCGTGGCGACCCTGGCGTTGGTCCCCGACACTGCACAGATCCTTCAACCTTGAAAGGTCGGCAGCTTCAGAGACGCCTCAGAGACGCCGGATCGTTCTACGATGGGCCGAACCTGGGCCACGGGCGGCGTTCAGCCGTAAAGGCCCGCGCTGGGGTCGCCGCCAGTCGACCCGACCCAAACCTACCACACCTGGCATGAAGGAGCGACCCCTGGAGGCCCTTCCTGAGCCCAAAACGGCCACGTCTGGACTGTGTGCGGGTCGAAGAAAAAGGAGGAGGAGGAGGAAGAGGAGGAGGAGCAGGAGGAGGAGGCGGAGGAGGAGGAGGAGGAGGAGGAGGAGGAGGAGGCGGAGGAGGAGCAGGAGGAGGGGGAGGAGGAGGAGGAGGAGGAGGAGGAGCAGGAGGAGGGGAGGAGGCGGAGGAGGAGGAGGAGGAGGAGGAGGAGGATGAGGAGGAGGAGAAGGAGCAGAAGTGAGGAGAGGGGAGGAGGAGGGAGGAGGGGAGGAGGAGGGGGAGGAGGAGAGGGAGGGGTGAGGAGGAGGAGATAGGAGGAGGAGGAGGAGGGGAGAAGGAGGAGTAGGAGGAGGGGTAGGAGGAGGAGGAGGAGGGAGGGAGGAGGAGAAGGCAAGAGGAGGAGGCGGAGGAGGAGGAGGAGGAGGAGGAGGAGGAGCGGGAGGAGTAGGTGGGGAGGAAGGAGGAACTAGGGGGCTGCGCCTTTTCTCCCCCCGGAGGAGGAGGAGGAGGAGGTGGAGGAGGAGGAGGAGGAGGAGGAGGAGGAGGTAGGAGGAGGAGGAGAGGAGGAGGAGGACGAGGAGGAGGAGGAGGAGGAGGAGCGAGGAGGCGGAGGAGGGGGAAAAGGAGGAGGAGGAGGAGGTGGAGGAGGAGGAGGCGAGGAGAAGGAGGAGGTAGGGAGGAGGAGAGGAGGAGTGAGGGAGAGGAGGAGGGAGAGGGAGGAGGAGGGATGTGAGGAGGAGGAGGAGGAGGAGGAGGAGCTCTGTTGCCCTGCTGCAGCCGTGGGAGCTCAGCAGCTCGTCCGCGCCCTCCGACCAAAGCAGGTTGCACACCTGCGAGCCCGTGTCGGTACACGAGAGCACGGCTCCGTTCAGCGTGCTCCACGTGCGGATGCACCTGCCCCCCCTTCCCCCCGGTACTGCCCCTAGCGGGCGAAGAACGGTATATAATAAACGTTTTCGCTGTCGGGGGCGCCTGTCCCAGGGCGGCTGGAAAGTTTATACCTTGACGGCGGCACTGTCGGGGTATAAACTCTCCAGCCGCCCAGGGGCAGGCGCTCCCGACAGCGCAAAAGTTGATGTTATACCGTTCTTCACCCGGCACTAGGGGAACGAAGAATGACATGAACATAAAAGCTCGGAGTTCCGCGCAGATTTCTCGGATCGGCGCTGGACCCCCCTCCCCTGGCGCGCCGAGCGCGCCAGGGGCGGCGCCGGAGGCGCCGCCAGGGGGGTCCAGCGCAGTGCCGAGAAATCCGCGCGGACCTCAGTTTCGGCGGTGGACAAACCTCCCTTAGTAAACCTCCCTTTAGTGAAAACGGCGTGGGACCGAAACCGACGGACTTGGACCCGCAAAAATGACGGCCGCGACACCCTCTCGCGAACCGAAAACGGCCAATTCCTTAATCGACGTGTCAGGGTAGGAGGTCTGCCCACCCCCGACAGTTTGCATGTTCAGGTCATCCTTCGTTCCCCTATAGGTGCTGCCCTGCTGCCGCCCTCGCGTCGACCCCGGGTGCTGCCGCCCCCTCGCCGTGCCGTGCCGGCTCGGCCGCCCACCAGTCACCTCTGCCCGCCGCCTGCCCGCACGCCCGCGCCATCCCTCCATCGGCCCCCCCCCAGAGATTTTCCCACCCCTCAAGGAAAAACCACGTCTTCCCCCCACCCTTTCCCCTGCCTCCCCCCCCAAGGAAAGGACGTCTTTCCCCCTCCCGCCCGCCTTTTCCACCCCCCCACGGGAGAAGGAGAGGATGCCTTTCCCCCTGCCCCCCCATTTCCCCTCCCTCCCCCCTCCCCCCCCAATGTGGACGCCCGAAATGGGCACGGAAAGAATGGGCACAATGCCCAACAGCAAATATTGTCCCAAACCAACAGCGGCCGCTGTTGGGCAGGCGGCCTTCTGTCTCGAAGGGACACAGGCCGCGGCGGCGTGTGGACAGCGAGTCCTCTTCAAAATGAACCAGATCCGCTGTTGGGCATTGTACCCATTTTTTCCATGCCCATTTCGGGCGTGCAGAAGAGAGACGGGCCCGTCTGCGCAGAAAGCGCCTAGGTATACATGCACCCTACCATGCCTGGCCAGGGCCATCCTGGTCCCTCGGGCAAAGTAGAGAGCCTCCCGACTCCTCATCCCACGCATCCTCCTCTCAAACAGAGGCCAGGATCGGGACGAACTCAGACACGGACACATCGGGGATCTCTGAGGTCCGGCGGTTCTGAACACATCGAGCGCCGCGGCCGTTCCAGAGCGATCCGGAACGCTCTGAGAGCGTTCCAGAAAGCTCTGGGGCGATTCATCCTGGTCCTGCCGATGATCCTCAGGACGCGTGTTAGCCCAATGTGTGTGTTACCCCCTTAAGCCCAACCAGTTGATCATTACATCGCCTGCGTCGTATCGAAAGGCTTCGATGGACAAACACACGCTGGGGCTAACACACGTTCTGGGGATAATCGGTCCTGGCCCCGCCCGACTCATCCGCCTCCATCTCATCCTCCTCCCTCTCATCTGAGATTTGAGGGGGTGCTGGCTCAGTGGGGGGAACATCGGGCTGGAATTGGAATCGGAGATGCATCGCCGATAGATCGGCGATAGATAGCGACACCGCACATTACCAGGCTGGGTTGACCGTCGGACTCCTGCTGGCGATCAATGGGCGAGTGAGGGTCGATGCATCCCTCCACGAGCCAATCCCCGCCAGCGTCGGCGACTCCAAAGGGTGTGGTTTGCAAAGGGTGTGGCTTGCAACCAGCACCCTGGGGGGCACCCTGGGGGGCACCCTGGGGGGCACCCTGGGGGGCACCCTGGGGGCCTGCGCCCCGAAGAGGCCTGACAAGGACAGTGTCGTGCCCCCCTGGCCCCAACGGTGCCGATCGCAAACCACACCCTAGCGTAACCATACCCTGTGTAGTCGCCGACAGCGATCCTCGTCGTCCGGTCTCCGGGCCAAAACTCGACGTCTCTGGCGACCGCGCCACTCGGTGAGGCGCAGCTGCCAGCACGCATCCCGAGGCAGGAAAAGCCTCCAGGAACCGACGGAGAATGCCCGACAGCCTCCAACTTCGAACCTATCAGGAGGAGGAGGAGGAGGAGGAGGTGAAGGATATCCGCATAAGGGGGCGCAACGCCGAAGCACCTGCTCAGGTGTCTCACGCACTTCTGCCAAAATCCCCTGCGATCGGTTGTGCTACAGCCCTGCCTTCTCACTAGGGTCGGCAGGGG